GCACACCTCTAAGGTGTGCGGTGTCCTCGCCCGCCGCACAATGCGGGTACCGTGCCGTGCGCTCCCTTCCGATCCGGTGGGAGCCAAAAACCCATGGCCAGTTAGCACTTGCATCAATCGGAAGGAGAGTTCCCTGTGAGCCCTGTCGAGCCAGTCTTTCAGGCAGGGTCGGATGATCTTCACCGTCCGGGAGTCTCCATCTCCGCCTGCGACAGCGGAAGCATTAAAACACTTCAAACATAAACAAAACAAATGGGCTCAATTCGCAAACGCACTTAACCCGACGAATTTAGAACAAATCAGGTTCTTTACAGAAGCGAACATCATTGTTGTGGTCCATGTTGCATTTGCTGCGGAATTCTCTGAACGACTTGATTTATCTGCCTTCTATTACCTAATACAATTTCCTTGAGTCCTAGTACAATCTCCCATTCTTCCACTTTCTTCCGCTGGGAACATTTTACGTGGAAACCACGCTAAAAGGCAAAGCTGCTCTTTGGACAGAACGGGATCCTCAAGATACAATCCCACTGTTCATTCCTTCCGACCCCCTTTCAAATCTCATCCTAGGTAAATGTTTTTAGCTCCTTATTCCAAATCCTCCACTCCACATTCAAGACTTTATTAGACAACAATACGCAATAAATGATTCTTTTAACACATGTATTATATCGGACAGGATTTTACACTAACATCTATTAGAAAATGGAATCGATTTCCCCTAGACTTTCTACTAGATGAACTTTGAATTTATGTTAAACGCGATAACACATACATATCCACACATATGTTTACTTATACACAACGAACTGAATTTTTACGTGCCGATGTATATTGATAATTATAGCCGTTCATGTTATGTTAAACTTAATAACTGATTAGTTTGTAGTCTTCTTTTTATTATTATTTATGTATTTTGATGTTATTTCATTAAATAATTAATTTAAAATGAAATTCGTTTAGTTCTTTGATTAAATACAATCTCGATCACTTCCGTTCACCGAAAATCGCACATGATCCGATCCCGAGTTAAAAGGATTAAATTCCTTGACTCAAATTACCGAATCGACGCATTGTTCTCGAATATAAAATAACATGAAGCGTCACAATGTGGCGTTGGCCTGATATCGAAAACCTTAAGATGCGAGCAACTTGTTATGATCGCTTAATAGTGAATGAATAAGTGAAAGGATCTGTACGTTCTTCCTTAACCTCCTCTTATACCCTCCAAATTGTAATTGTAATATCAATAACTTTCTTAAATTAAGAATCCTGGGATTTGAACGTAACACTATTGATTTTTTGATAATTATATCTTAATACTTTCATTCAAAATAACTAGAGAAGTCATATTGCGTAATAGAAAATATATGATTCCATTTAAAAAATAACCATAAAAAAATTTCGACAGTATCTTCATTTGTAAACGAATCAATATGATAATCATGTTGACTCTCAAAGTCTTATAACTTTTTTTAAAGTATTTTTCCATAACTTCCATATTTTCTGAGATATTTCGATGTGAAAGTAAAAATAACGGGATATGTTGTATATGCAGATATTTTTAGTATTGTCAATATATATATATTGAAATATAGTTTTAATAATACAATAACACTTAATAATAAGATTGCATATGAAATATTTTTTAAAGTGTAACATTTTCAATTTTAAATTATTTTTTAATTTAATTTTTTAATTTTTTCTATTTTTAATTTAATTTATTTGTATATTATTCTTATTTTAATTTAATTTATTCTTAATTCTAAAATTTTATTAATAATTTCTAGAATTATTAGATTGAACTTAATATTTTTAAATTTAATTTATATATTAGGTGTACAAAAAAGTTCTGAGCTTTAGATTTCATACAACCGAAATAACAATTTACATTTTATATATCTTCTCGCCCTTTTGCGGTTTTAAAGCGTTGACATTTGGCCTTCTAAAATGTCATACGATTTGGCGTTTGATGCACAT